GTTCATCCATTATATAATCTTTCATTCATATAAGTTTTGATTATGTAATTATCCTTTGACGTGTAGTTGCATGTCTAATTTCATTTAACATGTCTATCTTCATATTATGTATTCGATATTTGATATTGTATATTCTTCTTAGTTATTTATAGTTCATTTGTTTATTTGGAATATCGTTTGTGTTGCTGGTTATTTTGTGTTTAGACTCATTAGCATCTATCTCTTTTTTATCTTATCAAAGCATAGAGAAGATGTAATGTGAGTCTAGATTTGTTTTTTGAATTTTATATTGTTCATCCATGCAATATTTCAAGGGGAATAAGAAATTGAAAGAAAGCATTTATTGCACTTTAGTTCTACTTAAAGTCGCCTCAACTCCAAGTGTAAGTTTGCCAAGCATAAAAAATGGGGAGATTAAAGTTGCATATCACAGCTACACTAAAAAGGGAATGACCGTACCTCTTCTATATGGTTTTATTGATTGTCGTTTGAGCTTTTTTTGTTTTAGTTTTCATTGAGTCTCCTTTTAAATTGCACACTTCTGGAACAAATTTTAGATTTGTATCTTTTAGTATGCATCATTCAAACTGTTTGTATTTGAGTGTGAGCAATATGATTTAAGTCAATTAATCGAGTTATTGAATCAATAATTATATTTGAGATTGGTACAAGTTATGGCATAAGTAGAACCTCAAAACATCTTTGAAAATTGTAAAATTTGAGATTTTATGTGTGTGATTTGAATCACGTATCCATTGAGTCGAATCAATTGTACCAGAGGGATTTCAAGAAGTCTGTGAGTTGAATCACAGGAAGTACATGACCTGAAACATGGAACCTTATGAGTCGAATCACAAGTTACTCATGACTCTAATCATGAAGTGATGAAACTCCAAGATTTTTCTCCGCCTTGCTTGAGTCGAATCACACTGTTTAGGACTTGAATCATGAGATTAGCCATATGAATCAAATCATGGGTCATACCACAACTTGAATCATAAAAATGAGTTTCTCATATGTTTTAGATCTTTGTTCAAACTACTTTTACGTTTGACTAAAATCATACAGGTGCTTATGACTCAAATCAAACATGATTTTATCACTCATTTTGTGCTAAATATCTAACACCTATAAATAATTTTTCTCAAATATTTTTCACATTGTTAGGAAACACATATTTCCTATATTGATTTAAAATTTCATAAACCACTTGTTATTTCACCTTTCAAAAGAGTTTTGAATATTTTGTAAACACTTGCAAACAATTTCTATCATTTTCTACCTCATTATTTTTTCATTGTTGCATAGATTTAAATTTTATCTTTGGAGATTTGTGATTGTTGGGGAGATTTAGTGTTTAATTTAACGTTTCTTTAAATATTTGGTTAATTACTCAGAGTTTTGTAAGGTGCGTGGTGTTGTGATTGATTTTGACAATTCTAATGGAAAAGAAGAAGATTTTTCTCTCAAGTTTTACCTTGGTAATGTAGTGCGGAAGCCTAAAGACAAAGTATGAGTCATTCCTAATCTTCCAACAGACCAACATTCAAGATACTGGTGGAAACGAGTTAAGATCGCCGCAGAACGGAGACTCAGGAGCAAGTTGTTGAGGCTGGAAGATTCAGGAAGCGATTTTGCGTGAAGATAACAAATAAAGTCTAGTTCCTGGACTGTGAACAAGTCAAATATCCAAAAATAAGATTTTTATATTTTTAACATTAATTTGGATATTCTGATTGTGCTGGTTGTAATTCGGATAGGAAAAACACTAATGGTACATGCCATTTGTTTGTAAATTATTTAGTTTCTCGACATAGTAAGAAGCAACATAGGCGTTGTTATTTCAATCGCTAAGGCTGAATATGTAGTTGTTGGTAATTGTTGTACATAAGTCCTATGGCTAAAGCAATAATTATTGGATTACGATTTAAAACTCGGTTGTATTTTAATCTAATGTGATAACACTAGCACGATAAACCTCAATAAGAATCATGTATTTCATCCATTTACGTACTAAACATATAAAAATCCAACAACATTTCCTTATGGATCATGTTAAAAAGTGTGATGTTATTTTTTTAATACATGGATACTAAAAGTCATTTAGGTGATTTTTTTGATAAAATTGTTATGCATAGAACCTTTTCACAAGAAACATAGGGAATTGTTACTCTTGGATTCTCTGTGCTTTAAATAGATTTAGATTTCTCTTTCATTTCATTTTCTATTTTTATTATTTTGAACACTAATATTTTCTTATAGTAAGTTAAACTTTAACCAACTCTATTAGTATGTTTTTACAACTCTTATATCTTGTGATATCATTCTTCGTATTTTGTTATATATATATATATATATATTTATTTGTTTACTTATTACATTCTTTATTTCATTTATTCATTCCTAAGTTGTTGTATGATTGTTCATCTTTTTATTTAAAAGCTTTTTAAGTACATCATGTTATGTGCACTTGAGCATTATTATGTATGTACATGCATTATTTAATCTTCTATTCGTATAAGTTTTGATTTTGCAGTTGCTCTTTGATGTGTACTTTCATGTCTAATTTTATTTAACATGTCTATCTTCATATTATGTATTCGATATATGATGTCGTATATTCTTCTTAGTTATTTATAGCTCATTTTTTCTTTGGAATATCGTTTGTGTTGCTGGTTATTTTGTGTTTAGACTCATTAGCATCTATTTCTTTTTTATCTTATCAAAGCAGAGAGAAGTTTTAATGTGAGTCTAGATTTGTTTTTTTCATTTTATATTGTTCGTCCGTGCAATTTTTCAGGGGGCATAAGAAATTGAAGGAAAGCATTTATCGCACTTTGATTCTACTTAAAGTCGACTCAACTCTAAGTGTAAGCTTGCCAAGCAATAGAAACGAGGAGATTAAATTTGCATGTCTCAGCTACACTAAAAGGGGAATGAGTGTGTCTCTACTATATGATTTTGTTGATTGTCCTTTAAACTTTTTTTGTTTTAGTTTATATCATTGAGTCTCCTCTTAAATTACGTATTTCTAGAACTAGTTTTAGATTTGTATGTTTTAGCATGCATAATTCAAACTGCTTGTATTCGAGTGTGTGTTGTACCCCAATTTTTTCCCCTAAGATCCCTCATCATACTCGGTACATCTCATACATAGAATTGGTCTCGTGGTTACAAGATCCAAGAGCTTTGGCATTAGGGTTTCTCTCTCTGAATGGAGGTTGTCGTCTTTCTCAAAATTGATTCAACTGGCGCTCTCATTTTTATTGGCATGAGATTAGGGTTTTGGATCTCAAGCAGCATATATGTCTCTGCTATCAGATTTCCCCAAGATACAACTTTTTCTTCATCATAGCTCTTTCAAGGAATAAAGGCATTAGGGTTTAAATCAGCCAGAGAATCAGGATTTCTCTTCATTTTATTTGAACTTGGTAGTGATTCCTCTATGGAGGTCTATTGAATTAATGTCTCACTTCAAGGCTGCATTGAGCACTACTCTTCCCTTATTACGAGTTCATCATCATCAATTAGGGTTTATCCTAGTCGTTATATCTCACGACATTCCTCTCAAGAAGTTCAGAAGATTTAGTCAAGGGCTTAGTTCTTTTAATGCTAGTTGTTAAATGGTTAAGATTTGGTTGAAGAATTCATCGAATCAATGTGCTTATTATTGATTAGGCTACGAATTAAGAGATCACCCAAGCTTGTTGATAGGATTTATGTGGCTTCTTGAGTTTGAGATTCAATTGAAGATTTAGATTCATTGACCAAGATGGCGCAAAAGATAAGCTTGTGAACTCTTTGTGGAAAAAGTCATGTTATATATATATATATATATATATATATATATATATATATATATATATATATATATATATATATATATATTCAATTACTTGTTGCAAGTGGATTTGGTTTCATTCAAGTTTTCAAGACATAAATCAAATTTCATCATTTCAAGGCATATCTTGATTACAAGTTCATTTAAACATTTTTTTTTACCATTTGCAAGATTCAAGCCTTAAGTATTAAGTCCAAGATCATGTGGTTTATTTTGAGGAAGATATACATCCTTATTCATTCAATTTCAAACTCCAAGTCCATCATCCACTATTCAAGGCTCATCCAAATATCATCCCAAAGAACAAGTGTTACTCAAATATTTAAAAATCACATCGAATGTTCAATCAAGTTACAAAAAGATCCAAGATTCATATACGTACATCATTTAAAAATGCAAAAAAAAAGGGGAATAATGATACATATAGGAAGTTATGAATCTTGAAGAAGAGAGCAAGTTTGTATCAATTGGTTGAATGTGCAAGGTACGCCCAAATTTTATTCAAGTCATGGGGATTCATTTTAACCCAAATATGCAGGATACTAAATTACTGAAGACAGGACCTGTTCTGAAAAATTCTGCACTGTCTGTGTGATTCAAAACTTCCTCATTATGTTACGAATCTTCACGATCTTGGCTGAGTGTATAGAAGCTTGCACCATGCTTGAATCAATGCTTCGGATTAGTCATTCAAGATAATCTGCATGAAAAAACCCAAAACAAAAAAGCAGTTGTATCAAAACTCATATCGAAAATGGTTCATTGGAAAAACCAGGTTAACATAACAGTTCAAATAAAAAAACCAATTGGCATGATTAGCCTTGCAATCTGAAGTCAAAAATTAAGAAAAGAAGTCATTTGAATACAAACAGGGGAAGTCACTCAGAGATCAAAAAGTGACAGCTCAGCAGTTCCTAATCAGCATAACAGAACCTCTAACTGAATAAAAAACAAACAAACTGATAACTAAACAAAATTCAAAACTTCCTAACCGTCCTACAGTCTAACTAACAATTTCCATTAAACCACATAACAGTTTTTCTAATTACTTTCTAACAATTCACTAGACCAAACTCGCCCTGCATCAGTTATGGACAAAGAAAATCAAGAGTTGATATAACAAATCAAAAAAATCAGGAAATGAGAAAAGCAGAAAGAGTTAACAAATTAGAGGCATATCAGTTGGAGCTTCACAGTTAACAGTTATCAAGCCCATAACTAACTTCATGTTTGCCTCAATCTCCTCCCTTCATTCCATAACAGAAACTTCAGATCCAATGGCTAAGATTGCTCTAACTGTTCAACTGTTTATAACAGCCCTGTAACTAATTCCCAGCAGAATCTCAACAAACTCCAGCTAATTCCTTAACCATCCTAACTGCATCTAATAGATTCTTCCAACTAACTTCTAAAAACCAGCTCACCTATAATAATCTTTAACCATAACCTCCAACTGCCATAAAAAATTATAACAAAACCTATAACCAACTTCCTAACGGATAGGCAACATAAAACTAATTACACAGGGCGAGGGGTTTTTTATTTATAACATACCAGAAAAGTTATAGGAAACTCACCAGAAAATTATCCCAAAAAAACCGCTTTCTGCTCTCTCTCTTCCATCCTCAACCTTCATTCTCGATTTCTCTCCCACACGATAACCTCTATCTTCACCTTTCTTTCTAAGTTCACGATCATTATTCATAAAATTATCCATTGAAAAATCTCCATCCTCAAGTTCTCTCTGCAACACCTTCTTCACTTGAGTCTTATCTCTTCAACCAAATCGCATCATTTATCGCCATCACATTCATTCTCAAAAGTATGAGAAGAATTACCAGAAAAATAACACAAAAAAAGTTCTCTCTGAAATCTATAAAGCTCCCTGAATATCTCTGCATCAACCTTCACGTATCTTTAACCATTTTTCAATCTTCATCATCAACATCATGAATCTTTCTCCTCTCTACACCATCAATGCTCATCAATCTTCGTCTTTCTTCAATCAGCAACAACTTCTACAGCTTCTTTGAATCTTCATCATAATCGCTATAATAATCGCAACAGTTCAGAAACCACACAAAAAGAAGAAGAGCGAAAGAATAATTCGCACATCTAGAGTAATCGAAAGTACATACCCGAAGTCAAAGAGTTTCGCTGATAATCGTCTTCCTTAGTTGATACTCTCACCGGTAAGCTTCAGAATCCTTCGAATCGTCTATGTCCTCGTCATTTTCTTTACATCTGGCGGTAGCTTGTAGCTTATAAAGAAGGATCTCGGTGGTTTCCTCTGTTAATTTATCATCACTGTCACAAATTACAAGCTTACAATCCCCAGGGTTTCTAGAAGAAAGCTTTGATACCTTGGATTGATGATAAGTTAGCAAATTCGAATGCAAGATTCCAATCAAGAGGTAGTTTGAGGCAGGGTTTAGGTTCATGTTTTGTTGATTATAAGGGTTCAGCAGTGGCGGCGCCGCTAGAAGCCGCATACAAATGTTGAGATAACAAAGAAAAGAAACGTTGAAGAAGGAGAGAAAGGCTACTAGGTTAAAACTCACGGCATGTCCAAACAGTGTCGTTTCAGTCTTGTTTATTTAATTTTCTTTTAAATTTCGCTGCTTTTTCTTTGTTAATTAAGGGTTGAATCTATTGCTGATTGTTGTGGGCCGCTATGATCAAAAGCCTGGAAAATTCCGTGCCTCACCACCTGGTCCAGTATTGGCACCCCCTGACTCCTTCTACTCCCTTTGTTTTTGTAGACTTTGTTTTTTAGTTTAGATTTTTTTTTTGTATAATAAAAATAGTAATAAAATACATATAATAAAACAATAAAAATTTATAGATTTTAGGAATGTTTTTTTTGGTAATAAACTACGAGATCAATAAATTTTGTTAGACTTTTATGAAATTTTGGAAATTAATCCCTAATATTTTTTACTTGAAATTTGTGATTCACCTTCGCTTGTTGAGTTGAGTCTTATGCAGATTCATAATTTGATATGCGGACATGTTTTGGATTCCTATTATGATCTATTTTCACAACGATGAAGCTTCAACACCTATTCCAAATATTTGATCACTGACTGTTTGTTTGTTGATGCCAGCTCGCGCGAAGTATCTCAAATTTCTTTACTTTGGTTGCGCTTTTTGCGGACATCATTGTTCGTTTGGTATTATACTGCTTCCAAGTTATATTTCCGCATTTATTGGTTTCTAGATATCATGAGAAGTAGGAAATAAAGAGTGTGCGCTCGAAGTCACTGTTTAAAGACCTGTACCAGGCATTCCGCACTTCATTTCTTATATGTGTTGTGCTTGTGTTTGTTTCTTTTCTTGTTGATCAATGAGTCACTCAATTTAGCAACTGAGATCACGACTTCGCTCTCAGTGTATGCTCCCTATAGGATTTTATCGCTTTCCTTTATTTCTTGTTGATCGATGAGTCACTCAATTTAGAAATTGAGCTCACGACTTCGCTCTCAGTGCATGTTCCCTATAGGATAGTTTTGTTACACTTTCTTTGGCATGCTAACCCAGATAGGATCTCTTAAGTTGTGCTCTCTTGAGTTTACTAGCTTGCTTGCTTTATCCTTGTACACGTAGGTGATATGGCGATATTTTTTTCAGGAGTACCCTCGATTCTGAGTTACCATTGACCTTACCATGACCTAGTCTTTACCCGTGAGTGGGAAGGGAATGATCTATATAGGTACAAATGGTGACTATACATGTTCCGTTGGTGACTCTGATTATACTGATGACTTTGATCCTTGGTATTCTGAATTGGTCCAGACCTTTGATCTTATTACATACGACAGTGGTTCTGTTACCAGTTCAGCAGTTATCCAGTACCGCAGAAGCTTTGATCTCATATGTTTGCATACATAGCATGTTAATATAATTATCAGCATACATGTTCCTTTTTTTTCCAAACATTATTTCCTTGATTCCAATTGTTAAGACGAAAAATAAACAAAAAGAAAATATAATAAATACATGAAAAAATATATAATAGCATTGTGGCTTAATAACTGGAATCAAAGTGTATGAACTTTTGGAAATAAGAATATGGCATTTGTATTGCATGTCATGCATCATGTTGCGTTTGAATATGCATTTCATGAGTTCCATAGAAGTCTTACCCAAGGTCCTTTGGTCGCTTGAAGCAAGTTGCCTCATCAGTACAACACTCATGCTAAGGGAAGATGGAAAGCATTAAGCAAGAGATCTTTGAACTCCGCAAAGAAGTAACTACTTTGAAGGCTGATATGGAATATCTAACTGCTTTGGTTAAAACTTTGGTGGCCACCCAAGTCAATCCTTCTAGGAAGGAAGAAGAGATGGCAAAAGTCTTCACAGAAACTCTGAAATCATTCTTTCATGAGAAGGTGATAGTCAGTGCACCCGGTGAGTTCCCAGAAAAGGTGAATGTGGGAATACTTCTAGAAGAGGATTTCCAAAAGGAATGTTTATCTGAAGACATTGGCACAACTAGTGGTGTGAAAATGTTTGATAATAATTTTTCTAAGAAGAGAACTAGAAGAAGAAACGATCAACATGTTCCTTTTGTCAACCCTGTGTTCAATTTACCTCTTGTTGCTCCAATTCGTCAACAGAATCAACAAGCTTCTGATTAGAAGAAAGCTCAGTTTGATCTAATTCCAATGACTTATACAAAGTTGTTTCCTATCCTAATGCAGAGGAAATTGGTTCATACCTGATCTCCACCGAAGACTCCTGAGAAGATACCTTGGTACTACAAAGATGATTTAACTTGTGCCTTTCATTAGGGAGCCCCTGGACATAGTATTGAACAATGTTATCCATTAAAAGCTGAAGTCCAGAAATTGGTCAGAAGTGGCGTCTTGTCACTTAAAGATATTTGTCTCGAAGATCAAGCCAAGTCTTTGCCGAAGAATAAACGTGATTGAAGAATGCCCTGAATTTTAAGGATGATTAGTCTTGTCATGTTTACTAGCAATTTTACTGATTTCTCATTTGTAATTCTTCTTGTTAAGCAGTGTACGGCTTGCATAAAAGAACTTGTTTACATTTGAATGATTATTTTAATACAATAAATATGTTTGTCTTGAAGAAATCCATTTGTTTCACTCGTATTTATTTTTAATTTTAAATTGCTTTTTGCATTATGATACCAAATTGTTATCCATTCTCCTGCCTAGGCATGGTTTGGGGGGGGGGGAGGATGATGAGTTTAAAATGCAAAATTTCTGGTTGTATGCTTTTGAATAAAACTTTGTTGACGATATACAGCCATTGTTTCAAATTCCCAAACACCAGAGATATAAGGGAGTGAAACCCTCGTTAACCCCTTTGAGCCTCGAAGCAGGAGTTTCTTTTCTATTTTAGAAAAAACCCTCATTTTTAACCTGGGGCAGGGTAGTGTTCAGTTAATTTGATCGAGCATTCAGAACTCATCAGAAATGCGCATCTAAGGATACAACAATGGTTATCCTTAAAAAGGTTGATGAAGCCCAAAATTGTAATGGCTAACCTTCACTTATCAAGAGTGGGCGTCAATTAACGATACCCCAATGAGTACCTCTCGCACATCAGAAAGTCAATAGACGATGATACAACAATGGTTATCCCTCATTTTCCAAGAAATAGGGCAGTCACAATTCTTCCAACAAGTCGAAAATGACTCAACATCACGCGACATGTTCAAGAAAGAAAGAAAAGGTGATATAAAAATGAATGAAAAAATGAAATGAATAAGAAGTGATTAAAGATAAAGACAAAAATCCCTGCTAAGTCGAAACTTGGAAAAAGCTCGCTTAGGCAAAAGTCAGGGCATCCCACTAGGCTTCATAGTCAAATTCAAAAAGAATTTGTCCAGGCAAAAGTTAGGGAAAATGATGGAAAGCCTGAAAGGCGAAAAAGGATTACAAAATGGATATCCTTAGTAAAGAAATATGTTGCATGATCAGACAATAAAAGTAAAGATAAGTGATTATCGTATCCAAAGAAAACCTTGGTTGGTTCCTCAACTGTCTCGAAATTTCTTTTGAGAGATGAATGTTTAGGTCGAGTTAACTGAAATTAGGACTGGAGAACTTCATGAAGGGGGTGGGTACCAAATAATTTTGAGCCTTAAAATTCGTGAACCAGGCCACGTTACAACCCTCAAAAGTCCTAATTGAAACAACATTTATTTCGAAAGCATACTTCAACGAGATAGCGTTTTCTGACTCTCATGAATTTTGTTTAAAAAAATTATGTTGGTATCATATGCTTTTGTTATCTTTTTAAAAAAAATATCAATTTTGCGTCCTGGCTAGTGATTCATTCATAAGCTTTTGCAAAATATCTTCAATAAAATCTTCAAGACTTACATAATTGTTGCATTAGAATTATCATTCTTAGAATAAACACTATTCTGCTTGTAAAACCATTGCATGATATCAAAGAAGCTTACATTTGAGTATCAGCAAAGGGCACGTAACTAAGAAGAAGTTGTCAAGTAAAGAATATGCAATATTCAACTAATCTAGGGCAGTTACGTCGAGATTCGACGAATCTCTATGAACTTTTTGGTCAGACGGATTATCTTAAAAGCAGACAACCAAGGGCAAGTCGTGAAAAATATCTCTTCCACAAGCAGGATTGTTTCTCATAATCTGCCTTGTAGAGACGGGCATGATTCTCTCTACAGTAACTGACCAAGCTAGTGGGTGTCTTCCAGGTTGTGGTGTGGTATTGGGCCTGTGTTCCCATCTTTCCCCAGTTAAGTGTTAGTTCAGTTTGTCTTCAAGCATCTATTTAATGGTGGATTTGTAATCCCATCCTCCCCAGTCAGGTCCCGATTCAGATTTCTCTGACTGAGTGTAATTTCCTTCCGTGGTCAGAAGATGATCAAGCAAAGGTTGCAAAGTTACAAAGCATGTGCTTAGTTGTTGAAATCTTTCTCCCTTCGTGTTGAGAAGTAATCTTTATCAGGATATTATGCCCTCCGATTATGATATTGTTGTTGTAGTGTTCTTCTAAGCAACCAGACGAGGGCAATATACATTCTAAGAAGTTTTGAGATAAGTGTATACTCCTTGGGTTTTCTCTCGCTATGCGCTGAGTTTTATTTAAAATCCCCATGAGCTGGCCCATTACTGTGTTGTCGACTTCTTAAATTCTCCAGATGTGTCGAATATGATACTTCCCTCTGAAGTTGTTATCCCATGAAATTCCATGATCTCTCTCCAGAGAATTTTGCACAACTATTATGCCTAATATTGAAGACTGTATCCAGGCTCTCTTTAGTGTGTGTGGCTTCTTTTTCCCCAATGAAGTTAGCATAATAATCCCCAGTTAAAGTATCAACGATGTAGTTTTGCATCTTCCCCAGTAAAGTTTGTATTGACATCCCCAGTTGAGGTCTCGACGACATGGATTTCATCTTCCCCTAGTAGAGTTGGTTTTGGAATCTCCAATGAAGTCTAGAAGATAAAACTTCCTCTCCCCTTATCGAAGTCTG